GTCAACAAACTGGGATATCCGTTCAGTGGGGTGGCTGTTGGATGAGACAATAGGGCGTCCTGGATTACCGGGTTTGTCTATTTTTGGGTAATAATGCTTTGCCGTTCGTTTGACGGCATAAATAGAAGAATTCGTCGCACAGTCCTCGTCTCGCCCAAAATAAACTTTTTTTAAACTATTTTTGGAAAGTTTTAGAATTTTTTATTTTCATATTCTTTTCCTTTTTTTCAATTTTCTCTTTTTCCTTTATTTAAAAATCTTGAGAAAAAATGTGGAGTCCAGAGTCCAGTCCAGGTTTTTATACTATGGCTTTTCCAGCAGACTTCCGTCCAATGCTGTCAAGCTTTTTAAATTACCCTCACTATGAATAAAAACCAAAAACTGCTCTTGAAAGCTTTTTTTACTCGTCAGGTTAAACAGATAAATTTCTGTTAACAAGAACATCCGTATGATGGCGACAAAAGGCAGAAAAACGAATCTTGACTTGCATCGGTTACCAAGGAAAGTTGTTGTTTTTCGTTTATGTTGTTATTGTTAGTATTGTTTGCGGGTTTTAAAGGCAGTTTGTATCACGTCATTCCCCTTTAAATATTAACTATTGCTGAGAAATAGAAACGGGGAGACTGAAGCGGACACATTTTTAATGCAATTATTCTTTTAAGTACGAAATTTTTACTAAACATTATGGCAGGAAATGCTGCGTTACTTAAAGGTAGTTAACAACTGGAACCTCAGTATAGACAACTGGCAAAAAAACATTTGACATCACACAAATAAAACAGTTCAAAAACTAAATGCAATAAGCCATCGACATAAACCAAAGATAAAGCAACAAGACATTAACTTATAGTATTCTTAAAAATATTAAAACTGGAGACCCCTTCCATGAGCAAACATTTGTGGGTTACTACCGGGTACACCAAATATTCCCCATTAAACTTGCATGAAAAAGCAAATCCTTTTTATTTTCCTTTTTTCGCGAAGAAAATTTCTCTCTTCGTAACTTTAATTTTTTTTTCGGACGTGACCACAAACAGGAGGCAAATAACAATCCTCAAAAAGTGTTTGTTGGCAGCTTATCTATTTTATGCGTGATTGATGCTGATGATTTCGCAGCTGCATAGGAGGCTGTCACGTATGGCACCTCTTTTATTTTATTAAGGCAAGAACTAGTTAACGCTTGCTTAACCTTTAAACGGTGCATAGGACTTGGATGTAAAGTTAACTCCCTTTAAGTGATGTATTTTTTAATTGAACTTAGTTTAGTTTTCAACACAACTTGAAAGCTAAGCACACGCACGAGGCCTTTTGTCAAATAAAGAGTCAGATAAAAAAAATGACGGGTGAATTTTTTTTGCAAGCTTTTTTAGCCGGTGTTTACTTTGCCCTTGATATCATGTCACTGGAGCAGGTGCATTTAGTTGATCAGATAACCAAAGAGATTGAAAAATTATTTAAAAGGGCGAACTTTTCGGGATGAAATTAAGGTTTGCGTGAATTTGCAGCCCTGAAAGGATTTTCTGAACACATAAATACTCGCCCCCCTTTTTACTGAAAGGGTTTTTATATAAAAGATCAAAGTTTTCACTCATAAAACATAATATCTACATAATGACGTTTAACGTCAGTGAATATGAAAATGTTAAATTCGAGGCCAAAACAACAATTGCTGTGTTATTGATTTTATAAAAAGTTTATTCAACACATGCCGGTTGTTACCTATCTACTTTGAGTTTTAAAAGATTTTTGCTCACTCGATCATACCGGTCATCAGAATCTCCAAAGCACATCTCCTTAAGGAAATAATAACTGATACTCACTTCTGTTAGTATCGTCATAATTCATGCATAAGCTGTATCCACAGCCGCCACAGAAGATTAGTGATGCTGCGCCTGAGGCAGGTAATTTTTTTGTTAGTGAGTTTTTGTTGATGCACCTTACTGGATATATATCATATCACGCCGATTGTATTTATTTCAAAAGACTGTTTGTGTTTTTTAGATCGAGGCTTACATGCGTTCAAAAATTTACTATAGATGTAAGACTATGGGTGTGTTTCTCTATTTATATTTAGGTATAGATATAGAATTTCTATTTCGACTGACTTATCGAATGAAAATATTTAGGCAAAAACTGTGATAGGATGATTAAAAGCTTTTATCTGATAAAGAATTGAAAAAAATGTGCTGTCAGCTAATGCATGGTTCACGCACCGAATATCGAATAAGGGCCGTTATCCTGATGCTCTTCATAAAGACATGTATACTCACGGTTTTTCTTAAATAAGCAGGGAGTGTGAATGGGTACCGGAAATTGTCTGAGACACCTCGCGAATTATTTGGATGGGCGGAAGAGAAGGAACTGGCTACGATAGACTAACTTTCCGTCCCTTCACGCAGTGGAAACTGAAACGCTCTGATAGCTTTGACAGTTATTCTCGTACAGGATATATTCCGTCATAATTAATGTTCGACTCGTGTTTTCAGTATCTCGCAGCATATGGCTGCTGCATTCAATTCAATACTCCGCTGTTAATCGGAACTGTGTGG